CCTATAAGAAACTATGACAGGGCCCGCCACGGCCCGCTTTGGGCCCGTCCGCAAGTATGCTTTGAATAGATCTAGATAAATGTGTTTCTTCTATGGTATATCACTTCCTACAGTGTCGTTCTACAGTAATCACCAGTCAACTTTTCTTGATTATTTCAAAAACTAAAGTATTTGTTCTTATTCTTTCTCCATTTATGAAAATATAAGAAAAAATGTTCTTACTAAATAACCTATTTCTTCACACTTATCTACCTTCCTGAACCTAAAAATTTCTCTCGATGCCTTTGCCACTTCCATCTCTATGCCATGTCGCACTGGTAAAAACGCCGCTCCCGTAGCGCAGTAGGCAGCGCGTCAGTCTCATAATCTGAAGGTCGTGAGTTCGAGCCTCACCGGGAGCAAGCTTTTTTGGTTCTGTATTATGCTTTGTCTCGACAGGAATTGGAGAAAGAGAACCAGGTCTCACTTCACTTTCAGAAATGTCATTCTAGTCTTTGTTCAACTGCGTGGTGGCAAACGAATTCAATCGCCTGTGTCCTTTTCCCAATAATGTTCAAGGGCATTCCGTATAGATTTCATTCTTCAGATCCCCAACTATAAGTACAAAAACCCTTTTGATCTCCTATGTTCATAATAAGATTTACTGGTTAGTAGTGACTGTCGTTTGACTTTTCTTCATCGCGTGAAAAACAACTCGTCTTCTTCTTCTTCTTTGTTTTAAATTATAAGTCATCCAATACTTTTCCACTTCCAATCGATTCGATTTCCTTTTTTTTCGGATTTTTGTGACAAGGATCAGCGCTTTTGTGATAATCAAGATTCTCTCCAATACCTGATATTCCCTCTCAATTCTCGATTTTCTTTCTTTCTTTTCATTGTCAACCTTTTTGTCTCTTTTTGTTTTCTACAACTACCCATTGTTGTCCAATGTTTCCTTTTTTAACCAATTTGACGGTAACTTTTAACCGAATTTCTCATTTTATCTGTTACCGTAAAACCTGCAATAGAAGGGCTCCCACACTGACAAGTTTTAGCTCAATTATTTCAATTCTTATGCAATATGTCAAAAATGTGNCNNCTNNCTCAATCCTGAAAGAAACTATGACAGGGCTCGTCCGCAAGTATGATTCAAAGAAATCTATTTAGTCAGAGTGTTTATTTCAAATTCAAATGTTACACAACCAAAACATGATGGTTTAGCCTACTTTTAGAATATGACTCAATCGAATCTGAAACGGGTAATAGGGGAAGAAAGCGAGGGAAACAAAGATGTTTTGCGCAAAAATGACGAGAGACGGACGACGAGTCTGATGGCAAAATGGCGCGACGCTTTTTGCGCGACTTATTCCTTCTTTCCCATCCAAACCATTCGTCGCCTTTTTTTCGGTAGACACGAGATAGTGTTATTCGCAACAGAAACGGCATGAATTGCAACAATTATTCTCTCTCATTTTCCATCAGTTTTCATGGATCTGAAACCGGTCTCCGGCATCTCATTCTAATTTGTGTGTGTGTGTGTGTGTGTGTGTGTGTGTGTGTGTGTGTGTGTGTGTGTGTGTGTGTGTGTGTGTGTGTGTGTGTGTGTGTGTGTGTGTGTGTGTGTGTGTGTGTGTGTGTGTGTGCGTGTGTGTGTGTGTGTGTGTGTATTGAGGAAAATTGTGAAGAAAGTTCAAAGTGTGGATGACGGCGATGGATCAAACTATACGCGTACACCTGTTTCCTGATTGAATTGAAATGAGAATCCTAAGACGGTGAATGAAACTTGAGACACTTTGGAACATAAAAACTCGTTCGTTATGATCCGTCTTGGAGATTCAATGTTTCTTCGGACACTCTAGGATTAGGTGATAGGCGGAAAGCTGGATTGGAATGAAGCAACAACATTCAGGCTAACATTTTAAATAAAGTTTGAAAAAAGTTGAAAGTGTTGAATTGACTGTGAGGTGTTCTTGTCAAATTCCGGGCTGGGTCAGGGCAGGTAACTGATTTTTTGAAAATTATTGAGAACAATTTTATGAAGTTCATCTCAAAGGAAATTTAAGTTTTTCTAGGATATTCCGCACTCACAGAAGTATCTAAATTTAAACATTTTTCAATCATTAAAACTTCAGAATTTCGATATTTTGAAATATTATCCGGGTCGACAGGGACGGGCCGGATCATGGCCGGGCCATGGGCGGTCTTTGATCGCATATGTTGCCGTTTTGTAGAGTTTCTGTAAAAAAAGATTTCTGATAACATAGCAGTTATCCATTTGAAGGAAACTGAACAATTTTACCTGTAATAGAAGGGCAACCTAACTTTTAATTTTGAGCCAATTTTATCTCGGTTCCTGTCAAAGATATCAAAAATTGGTAAACTGAAAAATTTTTTATCATAATATCAGAAGTGTTTCATAAGTTGACACATTTTTAATATCTCGCATAAGAGCCAAGAAAAATTGGTTAAAACTTGGAAAGTGCGTATTCCTACTTGAGGGAGCATTTTTTTTGTTGCTTTTCCCTCGTGATATTAGTTCACGGGGAAGAGATTTTCATCACTTGGAAAGAAATTGCAGAAAAAAATTCACGTGGATCCACAATACGATTTCGAATGGAAAAATAGTTTCAAATGTATTCCCCTCCCCCCACACGAATTGTTCTCCTTTTGATGAGGACTTTTTATTTGATTTAATGAAAACATGACAGATAATACACAGTATTACAACAAACACAAAGAGCAGATATCTTCCCAAAAACAAAAACCACGTTCCCCAGAAGTCTGATTAGTCGGGCTAATTTAACCCTTTCAAAAACTTCCGGAAAAATGTGATGACTAAATCGGCGAACACTTTGTACCTTAGCCACCGTGAAATCATTTTAGCTCTTAAAAGTACTTTCAGCAAATAAAAAATAGGCTTAGCCCTTGAAAATAACCTAGCATCCTAAATATGCCGATTAAAATATTCTTCAAAATTCACAAAATCCCAAAGCCAAAAACCGAAAAATATCACATGTTTCGTTTTTTGGGTGAAAAAAATTGAATATCTGCTGAAATTCTTGGGTTTTTGAGCTAAAAATTCCCAATTTTGTGATTTTCAAAGAAAAAACAAATCTAAAATTACGAATTTTTAGCTAAAAAACGCAAATTTTCAGTTAAAAAAGCAAAAAAAACTTAATTTGAAAATTGCAACGGTGAAACGAATGTCTTCTTAAAAATTAATGATTTTTAGGTAGAAAAAAGCGAATTTTTTGTATAATTTTCTAGTCGAAAAGCCCAAAAGACTTTCTGTTGAATTTTTTCAATTATTTATGAAATCACATTAATAAATATGATTTTTTAGCTCTAAAAATGCCTATTTTTCAGCTGGAATTCATCGAGTTCCAGCCGAAAAATTTCCAATTTTCGCTTCAAACTTCTTCATTTTTCAGATTAAAATTCTTGCAATTTTTATGCTTAAATTTGTCGATTACTGAGCAAAAAACTTTAATTTTTGATTTTCGTTCTCTAGCTTTAAAAACCCAATCAAAAAATTTACTTCTCTGAAATTGAATGATTTTATAGCTTAAAAAACGATTCTTGGTCGCTTTTCTCGATTTTTGAGCTAAAAATATTGAAATTAGACTCAAAATTCTTCGATTTTTTATATTTATTAAAAAGCCTTTTAAATAGGTTAGCATCTTAAATCGACGGATACCTAAAAACAAGGCCCTAGAAACCATATTATTTCAAACAGCTTTAAGTCCAGCTAAAAATTCGACAATTCATTTTTCTAAAGTAGAAAATAAATCTAATAAGAATGAATAAATTTTCAAAAAATCTTCGAACAATTCAATGACTGTCCGTCGACGGACCGTCGACGGCCCGTCGGTTCTCCTTCGGCTGCCAACTAGCAGTCATTCGCCAGTTTGCGCCTCTTCAGCTGTCATTTAGCAGTTTTTCGGCAGTCCCCCTTTACCTGCATGCATGCGACCCGAGTTCGATCTCGCCCGAGGCATCGGATTTTTGAAATAAAAAAAATCGAAAAAAAAGCTATTAAAAAAAGCAGCGAAAATGCAACAGAAAAAGCAACAAAAAAGGCAACAGAAAAAAATGCTCCTCTCAAGTAGGAATACCGGCGCGCTAAAACTTGACAGTGTGGGTGCTCTTCAATTACAGGTTTTTCGTTAGATTCATTTGAAGAATGGGCTCATTAAACATATCTGAATTTATTGAAATATGAAACACAAAAAATATCAGAAACGTTTATTGGATATCAAATGTGAAAGGAGAACTCAATTACAGATGCTCTTGACACATCTCAATGTGTCATCATCATTTTGTGATTCCATGAACTCTTCCGTTTTGACTTTTCTGAAATTGAAACCTTTGATTAGCCATTCAACAAACTTCTCCTTACTTTTTATTTTTCTTAGCTGCCGTTTCAGCAGACGTTGACTGAGTTCGTTGTTCGCGTCTCGAAGGAGCATTCTCTTCTGCAGTTGCACAAACTGTCTTCTGTTTTCCCCTCTTTTCAGTCCGTGTTCGCTCTTGTGCAGTTTTCTCGTCTACAGTATCCACGGTTTCCGTCGATACAGTAGCCTTTGTTACAGTCTTTTCCTTGGATTTGCTCTTCTTCTTCTTCTTCTTGTTTTTTGCCTTCCCTGCTTCATTTGGAGGCGTATCTTGTGTTGCTTGTTCTTTCAACGTTTTATCTTTACTTTTTAAAGGAGGAACAGCAGGTGGAACAACTGCGGCAACATCTATCACTGATCTTTTCTAAAGTTCAAATACATTTTAGATATTTAGTCACTTTCAGTTTTATCTCACCTTGGAAACTCTAGATCTAGAATCCACAATTGGTGTACTTCTATCCAATTTTCTGTTCTTCTCCTTTTTCTTCGAAATACATTGAACGAGAGATGGTACAATGATTAATATTAACAAGAAGGCCATTGCACTCATTGATAGTTGTAATGTGATAAAATATCTATTTTCGGTAAAAGATATGAATACACATCCAAATATTTATGAATTGAAATTCAAGAAGTTGAATTAAACGCGAAATGTTTTAAACACTTAGTGCCGAGTGCTCAATTAGACCAAAATGCCTTCACTTAAAAATGAACTAGTTATAATCTGCTACAGTTATCCAAGTATTTGCTTCAGTAACCCATATTAACGCGATATTAAGTTTTTGAGAATATTGTAAGAAAAAAATTACACCGTGAAGTTTTGGATCATGGAAGCTAAAGACCTGAAACATCTGAATTGGAAGAAATACGACCGCTCTGTGTCTGATGTGCTGTAAAAAATTTCGCACTTCATCGAGGAGTTTCATATTTAGAAACAAATGCTTCAAAAAAAGATTATTCAATCTGCAAAAAGGAACAAACACGCACCTACTAAAAATTTGCCCATGAATACATTTGTCTAAAAAAAAAAGAAAAATACGTAGGTGGGTCTCATCAGTATTCACAATGAAATTTTGGAGATCTGATCAGGAAGATAGAATAGTTAGGGGGTGAAGGATTAAAAAAAGTAGGAAACGGCTCGATGAAAAATAACAATAATTCTGGAATAATATGGGTTAAAATATTGAATGGATGATTGACTGTGAGCAGTATTGGAGAGAAAGGGAGTGATTTATCGACGGGGCTGAATGTTGGATCCGCTGGCTGATTGTGGTAATTGTCCTCCACTGTGAAGTGGACCACGTGATCCAGCAGATGCAGAGCGAGCCGAGGCCATTGACCGAGGTGCTTCACCCTGTCTGGGTGGGTTGTGTGAAACCGCACTCGCATCACTCATCAGTCTTTCGATCATGGTCTTGGCATACTTGAGACGATGGAGGAACTTCTGTAAAAGAGATTTTTCAAATTATTCATGGCAGAGTACTAATACGAACCTCCGGGCAACCGTTGCGTTGAAGATTGCTGAACTTGTAAGTCAGCATTCTTTTATTCTGATCGATGAAAGTAACAGCTTGCATTAGAGGACACATCATCATTTTGACATGATCCTGAAAAAAATAAGTGTCGAAATATGTTTAGGGCGGTTCCGTAACTTACATTGAAGAAGTTGATCTGCACTGTTCCGTTGGAAAGGTGCAATACGATAGCGGATTTGGTTCTGAACCAAACACGGAGTGTTGGGAGACGAGCTAACTCATCTCCAACTCGTTGCTCCGACCCTTCTCCAGCTTTCACCAAATGATCGTTCATGTAAGACCGGAAATACTTCAGCAGAGTGACCTTCTTGTTGAGAGTCTGCGGAATGTCTCCGTTGTGCATAGAGAAGTAGTGCTCTTTGTTGCTCTTCTCAATGTAAGTCAACTCCCCTCCAGCTGTATCGAGCATGATACGAGAGTTATCGTTGAACAGTACACCGACTGAATTATCACACAATTGATATCCGATACCATACTTGTCCGAATAATCGACCCATTTTGAAATCCAGAAGATAGGAAGACACTCCGGTGATTGATAGCCATCAAGAGCAGCTTCTTCCTCTTCGAGCTGCAATCTTGAAGATAATCATTGATACATTGCAATAGCTCACCCCAGGAATACGCTGTTCCAAAAGTACCGCTACTTGGTGAAAAAGTTGCGAGAGGTAGGCATCTTCAGGCTCCCTGAACGTTGCCTCGGCAGCCTGTTGTTGAGCTCTTTCGCGCTCAACATTGTTTGACAACGTGTGATGTGGCAAAGGAGCCAAGCCAGCTCTTCCATTCAATGGGCTGAAATCGAAAATTGTGTTCGGTGCCAGATTATTTCTTAATTACCGCTGTCCACGTGTATCTACCCCATTCGGAGCCACATTCTCCTCCATCATTGAGGTCTCGTGGCCAGCGAACTTCGGGACCATTGTCAAGCACGAAACCGGAAGTCTGGTTGGCATGAAACCAGATTTGAAGAAGATGTCGCGGTGCACCTGGAGTGATTTCATTCCAAGAAGAAGAGATTTCATTTCGATTTGGGCACAAAACCTCGAACTGTTCTACTTTTTCCTGGTTCCTCATCCCTTTTCTAGTGAAAATATAGGGCATCCAAGGAGAGTGTGAACTACATCAGAACAGTGTCACGATATAAACTAGCTTATGATCAGACGTGAAACTATATAGGTAGCGTACATAGGTTATTTTCTTTACTAGTCACTATGGATATAAATGATGGAACTAGAAACGTGCAATTTTAAATTTTACAAACCTGTTTGGCAGTCGGACGGCGAGTTGGCTCCGGATCCAGCATTTTTCGAATCAAAGCGGCAGCTGGCTGCGACGCGACAGAAGGAATTGTATAATTGTTATGACGGATGCGAGAATAAGTTTCTTCAAGCGACTTAGATTCGAAAGGTGGTTGTCCGAACAGAAGAATGTATAGGATGCATCCTACTGCCCAAATATCGACTTCGAACGAATGACCCATCTTGTTCAGCACCTCCGGAGCAATGTAATTCGGTGTTCCGCACAAAGTTTTCTTGCGTTCATCTCCATCAACAGTTGTGGCCAAACCGAAGTCTCCAATCTTGACAACAAGGTCATCGTTGAGGAAAAGGTTTCCAAGCTTCATATCTCGATGAATGATTTTCAGGTCATGCAGATAAAGGACGCCTTCCACCACTTGATGAGTGAAGTAACGTGCCTCTGGCTCAGTGACTGCCTTTCTTCTTTTGTGCAGCTCCATCAACGATCTTCTAGCACACAATTCAAGCGTAATGTACACGTTGAGAGAATCTTCGAAAAAGTGGAAGAGCTTGACGATGTTTTTGTGAGACAGCTCGCGGTGAATCTGTACTTCTTGAGTCATCTAGAAAAATATGTTGATTAACCGAGGAAATAAAATAATCGTTAACCTTGTCTCTTTGATATTGCTTGACAAGCATTGTTTTCGGTACAACTTTTCCGGCCACGACTTCTCGAGTGGTCCGATTTGTGAGCTCATAGCAATGAGCGAATCCTCCCTTACCCAAAAATCTCCCCTTCTCATAATAAGCCCCACGTTCCTTGTCGGTGATGAGAGCTGGTACCTCTGGAGGTGCCTTTTCCTTCCGCTGACTGGGCTTTGCTGGTTGCTTGGCAATGTTTGGCAGCCGATTCATCTACAAAGCATGAAAGTCATTACAGAAAACTCAAAAACACTTGAAGAACATTTTTCTCTCGGCGAACAGCTTCAAAACATTTGAAATGGGGGAGTCGCGTCCAGCCTTCAAATTCAAATCATTTTGCTTCGCGGGGCACTGGTCTCGCCGCGATTGTGCGTGTGTCGATTTACGCAAAGACTTCTTGTTCTCAATCCATAAATAGATTAGATTACATTTACCTTGTACAAAAGGGACAAGGAATTCGAAGAGTAAATTTCTATTCGTCGCTGATAAGATAGCGAAACTTAAACTATAGACGAAAAAAAATTAAAAAGAAAACGAGTTGAAAGTCAATTCAACGGCTAGAACTGAATTTCAACCTGAAAGAAGAAAAGGAAAACACAGATTGGTTACTCCACACACGGTTTATTGGAAACCCAGTAATTGACACGGATAATTTTTTTTTCAGGCGAAAAATGGGCATAGAAAGAGAAAAGGAAATTACAGACCAAATTCGAGGTACCTGTGCAACACCAATATGCGGAAAAATCCCAAAAAACGGACGTTGAATTCGCGCCTGTTTTTGAGCTCATTGAAATTATAACAAATTGACATCTCACTCAAGTTTCACACAGGGAAGTCTAGGACTTGTGACGACTTCACAGCATACTTGCAAGGGGCCGGGTTAACAGTAACTTCTCTGACCCGGCCCGTCTTTTTTAGAGTATGCTCCAAACACAGGGTTATTGGGTAGAAAAAAGTTATATATGCCGGCTGAGAACAACTGACCTTGTAACTTTTATAGCAGAGCATTTTTCGTTAGCACGACGAACACGTACTAAACTTTATTGGTGTCATCTTCCAGAAAAAAATAGGACACGCTTCCAATATCTCCCCACGCGACATAAATTAGGTGTTTCTTAAATAAATGTACGGTAGAAGCTGTTAATAGTTTATTGGAACTTCCAAACTGGAAGGGAAACATCACAGGGTTTGAAGACAAATAGAAGTTACGAGAAAAGAACAAGACTGTATGGTTTGAAACCGCCGTTAAAATCTTCGACAATCATAACAGACAATTTCTTGTTGTTTTCGTTGGACACTGAATATACATCGACCGGCTCAAAGCATTGTTTCTGGTGGCAAAATCTTTCTCTGTAAAATTGAATTTATTATCTACTTGTTATCACTATCTCAACCTCCTATCCCCGTGGGGTCGAACTAGATCCTGAATGACGTCTTCAGTTTTGACATGTCTGGCAAAGAACCATTCGAGAACAACAAAGTCCTCAACATTTGTGGAATTCACCTGCTCCTAAAAAACAATTTCCCGTTTTTGAAATTAAATAACAATGGGTTCCTCACTTCAATCGCTGATTTGACGACAGCTTCACAGACCGTATCCGAGTAGAACGAGAAATGTGGAACAGATGTACAAATGGAAAAAAACTGTTCAGATGTGAAAGAGCATTGTTCCATGAGACACAGAGTTCGACATTTTCGAAACTTAAATAAAATATGATAATTTTGAAAATTGAGCAGGTTATGCCTTACATGAGGGTAATCAAAGATGTTGCATGGAATATCATTGGGTTGATCTCCAAATGGAGCGATGCTGATCCCACTGATGTCATCAGCAGAAACATGACAAAGCCACCATTCCAAAGTACTCAGCGACTCCAATCTCAGGTACAGTTTTCTCACTGAAATCTTGCGACACCCAGATAATGAAAGCGCCGATTCGTCACTTCCTTTCTTCTGAAAAGTATATACAAAAATGATCGGAATAATGAATGCAAACATTACCAGATCGAGATAGATTTCCCCTATTTGATAGTTAAACTTTTCCAAAATCTGAATGAATAGTTTGGATAAATCTGTTTCAGATATTTCCAAGTTTTTGATTTTCTCATCTTTGTTCCGCCAGTCGAATGTGAACTGAAAAATTGGAAAGATTATAAATCCAATTTATTTCTGCAAACCTACCATTCCGTTCTTCGAATTTGCTATCTTCAAAACACTTCCTCCGTTTAGCTTCGGCGGACTCGAATGATTATTCTCACTGACTTCTTGGTGATTCCCAAGGCATTTGTCTTTTCGAGACATCTAAATATAATTATAGTCTAATAACTTTCGGACATCATGAGTACCTCTTCCGTTTTCAAACCAAGCATTCGAGATAGAACTCCCATCTTTTGTCCAGATTTGTAGTCTTTAGTCTCTTCTTGGTTTTTCCAAATATAGCATGGTTCAAATAAACGAGACTTCGAAGACAACGACGGCATCTTTTCTAAATAAGCCAAATAAAATGAAATGTTTGTGAAATACGGCAAAGACGGTCAGAATAAGGGGAGGAGGGAAAAAGGAATATATTGAATTTTGATTAATTCGGAGAACTGGAAAAAAGAGAAAAAAGAAATAAATGAAAAATAAAGTAAATCCGAAACAGGATGAGATTTGAGACAACATGTCTACTGAACACGAGAAAGGATAGAGGGACAGAAGATTGCTGAAATTTGAGATTATGCTGAGAAGGAAAAGAATAAGATGCACCACGAATTGCTCAGAAGAAATACTTTTTAATTTAAAAGAATTTAAAAAGGAAGAAGAATAATAAAAGAAACGGAAGTCAGAAATCTCGTGCAGCTATGATTAATTTCATACTTCAATAAAGAGAGAGCATGTCCCTTTCAGGAGCCAAATGATACTTTAAAACCATACTTGAAAAATTAGGACCCGGCCCAACGGGTCCAGGTTAAAAATAATTATTTTTACCGTAAAAACTTTAATAGAAGGGCTCCCTTATTCTCAAGTCTGAGCTCCATTATCTCAGCTCCTATAAGATGTATCAAAAATGTATCAACGGATAAAATACTTGTAATGTTATGATAAACAATTTATCAGTTGACATCTTTTTTATATCTTTAACAGAAACCGAGATAAATTTGCTTAAAGTTAAAAGTTAGGGGACTCTTCTATTAGAGGTTTTACGGTAATGAACAATTTTGTTAGTTTTTTTCATGGACCTCAAAAATGTTTTTTAAAAGACCGGGGAAACACTGAAAACCCGGGCGAGGCATGTTGAAATTATGTTCTAAAGATACTTTGAAGAGCTCCAAGGGGCAAGGAAAAAGATTCGAACGGACGACTTCAATAAAATGTTCGTCTGACGTCAAAATCATCTGACGCCTACTTGATATAACGAATAGAGTGAATGGCAATGAGATAAATGTGAATTTGAATCCTTTGGGAGCAAAAAGAAGTAGAAGGAGAGAGAGAGTAAGAGTCACGAGTATTTGGAAGAAGACGACGACCAACTACTACCCACTAATTATGCAGACTTTTGGGAAGGAACACGAGACCGGAGGAAGAAGTTTAAAAAGGGAAGAAGACGGAAAAAATGAAATCGAAAAAAAAGGAAGAAGAAAGGAAATGAAAAGGGAGCAGACGGACGACTTTATAAATGGCTCCTTGAGTGGCTCGAAGAGACCGCCGGACGGCAAGTGAAGCCAATTGAAGTGGGGATTGAAGAAGGAAAAGAGGAAGAAACTGCACGATGACAGAAAGTTCAAAAGTTTATATTTTCGCAATATGTGAATAGGACTATCATGATTGGAAAGAAAATCTGAGCTGTGGAAGAGAAATGATTGTGGGCGTGGTTAATGATTCCCGTAACGAAAGCCACCGTATCCGAAGTTTTCCGTACTTTGGATTATTGCAGCCTTTCGAAATTTTTTGTGTTGAATACCTCCAAACAAATCGGAAAATATAATATTCAAACCTATATTTAAACATGAAAAACCGCCGAAAACGGAAAAATATCTTTAAAAAAGACTTTAAAAAAATATTGCTGATTACGGTAGTACGACCTTGTCCGTGGCCGACAGATTTTCTCTTCCACAACTTCGACTTTTGTATACCAGCATAAAGAATGTGTTGCTTAAAGTTCAGAGCTTCAATTTTCATAGAAATACATTTCTTTTTTCCAGTCCTCTGGAACCTGCAAGCTGTGAAAAGGGAAAATTTATTGAATTTGATTTCCACTCTTCCCAGAGATTAAGTGGGGCAATCAGCAGACAGAGCTTTTTTCAAAATGTAATACTCTATCATCATGTGGTTCTGTATGAAAAAGATTACACCATCATCCATTTAATCGTTCCTGATAATTTGATCATTGGATCATTACTGTTACTTTCGGCTGTCAAATATCCGCCGTTCGCCCGCCTGCGCCTCTTCAGCTTTCATGAAGCAGTTCTTCTTGGTCTTTTTTTCGATTTTTAAAAATTTAAAAAAAGTTTATTAAACATATTAGAAGAAGAAGGTGTTTTTAAGATAGTTACGGCATACGGTAGCGAGTATATTGTTTTCCATCCCTTTTCATTGCCTTTCCAGTGGCAAAAATATTAATCATGTGGTTATCGAAGTTGGCAGTAATACTATTGAATGAATTCAGTTTGCTTGGAATTTGAATGCAAGTTTTAACAAAACAACGCCGTTTCAATATTGCATAGATCTCTGAACTGAAAATCAAAAATATTTTTTAACTGTTTTGAAATCTTGATTACATACTTTTCTTCTTTGAAATCGTCATCCCACATAATTATATTCTCGATTCCTGATAACAATATCCGGAGATCTCTTCTTTTGGTAGAAAAGAAACAAGCTTCTTTGAAACCATCTACATATTTCCCGTTTTGCCAGTTCTGAAAAAATTTAATTTTTTCAGAAACATTATTTTTATTCCTTACAATAAGGAACTGATTGATTTCAGTATCGGAAACGTGCTGAATGTTGAGACTGATACGGCGTGCTTGAAGTTTCAGCAAATCGCCATTCAAAAATTTATAGCATTCGTATATGCACAGTTTCTTGCAACAAACAATCTGGAAAAAAGATAAAAACAGTTATTTTAGAATAATAAGAAACTACCTGAGGAAGGGCAAGCATTTCTGTTGAAATTGAGCTCAAGATGGGACTATAGTCTCTCGGTATCAGTTGAAACTCATCCAAATCTTTTGGGACCTTGGAAAGCCACCACTTGATTAGATTGTCGTCATTCAAACTCATGAATACTTGTTTGACATTTGGAAGAAATTTTATTCGGCTTTTCTCCAGTGGATATTTTCTCTGTATAACTGAGGTAATCGTAATACATAAAAGTCAAATCTAACCATTGCAACTCGAAGTGTTGAAATTCCATACTGAGAAATTTTCATGAATCTTTCAACCATTTCAACAGCGTCTTCATGATAATTACTATTTCCAGCTTCACTAAACATTATTTCGTACTTTTGATTGGCGTCCTTTTCGAATTCAATGACAACCATAACTGATTTCTGAAAAGTCTGAAATGAGGGGGATAGTAGCTTTTTTGGAGTGTTCTGGAGTTAGGGATGCATCCTCATCCTCACTACTCGTCCCACAAGTTAGACTCCTTGACAGGCTTCTATGAACAAAATTTCGAGACGGCTATTTTCTTTCACTTCCTCCCACTTTTCATAATTCTATTTTTCTCCAAAACAGAACTTACAGGAATAGAAACATCTGTAAATGCAATTGAATGAATATGGATGGGATGAACACTAATCAATGCATAGTGCTTTTTTGATGTAATAGCAAGACGACATCTCATTTTGTAATCCAAATTATCGATAACCATTCTTTTACAGTCATCATTCAACAGAGGCCATAGTTTGAATCCTCCTATGTATTTTGCCACTTTGGAAAGAGATTCCTTCTGAAGAGATTAGCGATGGCAAGAGATGTTTCTTTATTAAAACTGACCAATTTCTGTTCTCTGATGTATTTTGGATCAGCTTTTACTGCCAATTGATGTTCATCGTCACTATTGGATTCTTCTCTGGACATGTTTACAACTTTGGTAGAATACAATAATATCAAATCCGGCTGACAATAAGAAAACACCCCAACACCAAGATTAATTATTTTTTAAACTTTCACATCCAGTTAAATATAGAATTTTTATAGTTAGAAAAAATTGAACAGCTTCAGATTATGTGTGTATCAAATGACAGAGGTTCATAGGAGCGCGTTTGCACACAAATAGGGAGAAGAATAGAGAGAAGAAAAAGGAAGAGAGAAGAGAATATGGAAATGATAGAATGGGAGGCAACGAAACTGGATCACTCTCTTAAAATATTCAGTTCGGAAAGATATTTTTTTGAAGTGTTGAAAAACTAAGAATATGAGTAGAACATTGAATGCAACACCCACAGTAAGTATGTCAACGTTGAGTTCAATTTTCTCGATTTCTGTAACAGATATCAAAAGTTGGTCAACTGACAAAATGTTCATCATATTATGGCATATATTTTGTCGGTTGAAGGTTTTTTGATACATCTTACAAGAATCGAGATAATTCGGCTCAACGTTTACAACTATTAGAGAAGATAAGGTAGTTATTCCCGAGGTTACCTATATTCAAATTTTCATTTTAGAATTTCGGTGTGCAAAAATTATTGAGGTCATAACTTCGCATATCTCGCAAAATTAAAAAAAAATGAAATTTCATATTTTGTGATTTTTAGGTCGTTTTATAGGTCACAGAACCTAATTCTTTTTTCGAAACTTGATAAATTAACATAAAACCACCCATACAAAAAATTTACTATAATCAAAAACATTATATCGAGAACATTTAAAAAAGAAAAGTTAATGGGTGATGGAACGATGCGATGATTGGGTATCGGAAATGCTCTCCGAGCTGCTCGAGACGGCGGTCATCAGATTCGAAAGAGCAACACCACACTTGCTTGCAGAGTTTTGAAGAGCATGCATTAGTCGAACGGCTTGGGTGTCAACTGAAATTTTAAAGTACATATAAGCCGCTTGTATATACACAAAAGGGGGCATGAGGGTTTTTTTTTAAATCACGTATATGACCACTCTATCCTCCGTTTTTCCAGGCAAAATATTATTTTTTCCCGTGACATTTTGAAAAAAAAGAAACGTGGACCCGCTGACGTTTTTCTGAAGCGATTTATAGTGAATTCAAATTTATTCCCCTCAAAAATAAAAATAGAAAAAGACTCATTTCTCAAGGAAAACACCCCCACCCCCAAAATTGTATTAGCTCTTCAAATTATTTTCAGTACTTACAATGTTGTTGTCTTCAGGCTTAGCACTCTAAATCAACGGATACCTAAAAAAAGCTCCCTGAATGTGTACCTATAACCTATTCTTGGTACTTTCGAAAAAACAAACAAACACCCAAGTTTTAGAATTTGAAAAAAAATCACATTTTCAGTGTAAAATCGGCAATTTTCAAATTTAATTTCCTTCACTCCTAGGAGGTTTTAGGACTTGAAATTTTTGTGTTATACTCCGAACTATTTGAAATTCCATATTTTTACATTATTGTTAAAAAAATTTACAAACTTGAAAACTTGGGTCCACCCAAAGTGTAGGCGAGTTTTGAAACTTTCCAAAACTTTTCCGGAAAAATGTTTTTTTGAAAAAATGTAAAAATAGGAAATTTCCAATAGTTTTGAGTATAACACAAAACATTTCAAGTCCTATAACCTCCTAGAATTGGAGAAAATGAAATTTGAAAACTGCCGATTTTACACTGAAAAAGTGATTTTTTGGTACTGAAACTGAAATTTCAGCACTTTAGAAGCAGATTTTGAAAACGGTTTTATAGGGTTTCAAACATGCTCTTTCATCCTGTGAAGTCAGTTTGTGCAAATTAGAGGGTCAACTTAAAAGGTTCCCTTATAAGCTATTAAAACAGAAACCAGAATTTACTATAAAAAATTACAGTGAAAAAACTGGAAATTTTGCTGATATTTGAGAATTTCAGTACTTTATCACTGACTTTTTAATAATATTCTGTTTCTTTTTTTATTTTAGGCTTAGGCTGAAACGCGTGTTTTTTGGCAAGGCATTTCAGTCTAATGATATTTCAGAGAAAAAGCTGAAAATTTCGCAGATATTCGCAAATCTCATTACTTTCTTCATTCAATTTTTTCACAGATCATTAACTTTGAAGCTCTATGCTTAGCCTCAAACGCCTGATGTTCCTTCCACTGGGAAATCCGAGAAACTGCGCAAAATTTGGAAGTATGTATTAATTCTGGCTGGAACATACCGTAGCCCATGGGCTTCTGTTAGAAAAGTACGGTAATTCAAAATCCCAGAATTTTTGGAACTGTGATTTCAGAACTAGAAAATTTCTAAATTTCAGTATTTCAGATTTTTTAGAATTTTAGAATCATTTTTCCGGGATTTCAGAATTCCTGAATTTTGAACTTTGAGATCCTGGAATCACAGAATTTCATAAATTCGGAACTGTGGAATTTAGAATTGCAGAACGAACATTTAGAATTCTCCATAGCACTGAATTTCAGAAGTTTTATCTTCCGAACGTCAAATCTCTGAATTTTTGAATACAAATTACTTTGAAAATAATTCATTGAAAAATTGAAGCCCATGGGCTTCTATTAAAGGAAATAGGTATGTCTCTTACCGATTTAAGTATATTTTTCTGACAACTTTAGAAAAAATTATCCTAATTCAAAAACCCATTTTTGGAGTTACAAAATTTCGATTTTTTAAATGAGAAGATCAAAAATTGGCAATTTTAGAAACACTCATTTACAACTAACGATATTCACCCTCATGAAAATTTTGAAAAAGAAAAATAATTATAAGCATTTTCACGTGATGATAATGAGAAGTTATTTATATATCAAAAACAACTAGAAATTTTGTCGATCGAATAGCATACTGGTTTACACGCTGGTGTATGAAGCGATCGACCCGAGTTCGATCCTCGCTCGAGGCATCGGATTTTTGGAAGGGAGAAAAAAATCCGAAAAATCTAAAGAAAAACCCTCATGCCCCATTGGGAAAAAAACCCTCATGCCCCATATTGTGGATTTACGGGCGCGTGTACATATAAAAATATAAAATCAAGAATTTTAGTTGTTATGGTCAGATTTCTGAACTCACCAGCATCCTTTGCAGTGTTCAGAGCATCATCAACCATAGCAGAGAGCGAGACAGTTGAAAAGTTGAGAGATGGAGCAGAATCCAAAGTTGTACGAGTTCCAATGGTAGAAGAGAGAACAGACTTATCGTCGATTTCTCTTGGAGGACGGGCGATGATTGGATCGCTGGAAGAGCACGCAGTTTTGGTACATGAAGCACTCTTCATCAGGTTTTGATGAGCTTCTTCGAATGCTTGACTTGGCATTGAAGATTTGGAAACTGAAAATTTATCTGCTTTGAAATATATTTCCCACTTTTTCTGATTACCGGAAAAAAGAGTTGACTGTCCGAGAGAAGAAGAATTGCATTCATAAGACGACAATGTCATTGGCTCATTGCAAGAGAGAATGTTAGTAAGGCCATCGGAAGAACATCCAGTGAAGTTGGAAGCAGAATCCCATGGACTGCATTCATATGTCTTTCCTTGAGGTCCTTCCACTGCTCTTCTGATTCTTGAACTACGAAGTTCTCCATCCAAATCATTAAGATTGGAATCATCAGTCAATGCGAATGAAGAACTTTCGAGAACATTCAGAGCGTCGTTGGTGCTATCAAAACTGTAGACACTGTTCCATCCATCACTATCAAAAAGAGAGCTCGCTGATTTAATTCCTTCCCAGTTGTCCATGGTCTTCATAAGATGACGGAACAATAGCTGGCATTTTTGCTTCTTTTCAAACTTGGAATCATTCTGGATCTTGGAGATGGCATAGTTGAAATCGCCGCGTTCATAATGGTCCAAAGGCAACGATCCGATCATTTGAATGAGACCGGAATAGACTGAATCCACGCGTTGATCTTCTTGTCCAAATGCAGTCAATGAAGCGGTGTCCATTCTGTTGGCATTCAAATTTTTACGAATTTCAGCCAAGCGTTCCGTATTTTCCAACATAGTATCCATGATCCTTGGGCTTGTAGTGTAAAACTCCTCTCCTCGTCGGACGAACTCCTCGATTTTCTCCTTTTTCTGGAAGACTGCCAGCGACTGAGTCACAAAATCGGAAGCGTCTTCAATTTTCTTGTCGTAGAATGCTTGAGTGTCGTCCACGGCTTCGTCGAGATACTCGATGCAGCTATCATAGTGATCCATTTTCTTGTTGGAATTTTTAACGGTTTGAATAAAAGCCTGACGTTGTTGAATGTTCAGTTCGGAAAACTGACCGATGAATCTATCGAGGGTCTGAAAACTATAAAATATAAAGTGATGGATTAAGAATAATAACCGGTTCCAGCTCTTCGAGTCCCTTCATTTGAAGTTGCAAACTCTGTCCTTCCTCCCGATGTTCAGTGGTCTCTCGCAACAAACTTGTCACTTGACTCAATGCAATCGGAGGGTTCCCCTCAATCGTCGCTGAAGAACTGCTTCTGCTCGATTCCGAATTGAACTTCCATTCGCTCAACTCCGAGCTCCGAGGCGGAATGGCAGAACCCATGATGTTAGGAAGTTTAGGAGTATGTGGAGTATAGGAAGAAATTGAAGAGACGACGGTTGCTGGTCTACTTGGAATTGTTTTATCAGCTGAACGAATGGAGCAATCAGTTGAAGAAGTGTTCTGTTGAGTAGAAAACGGAATCTTTTTCCAGTGGCTTCCAAGGCTCGTTGAACTTGTAGCAGCCAAAGAATCGATTGAAGTAAGGCTTAAAAACCGTTGTCTATAACCTGTAGATGAATTTCTAATTACCCAGAATCACCAACATCCAGATACTCCGACGGAATAGTAGTTGAACTGTAATTATAGCGAAAATATTAACTATTTCTGAAGACAATCAAACTCACCGAACTCTCAGTTGCTGAAGCTCGTCGAAATCCATTCGAGGTCCGTAATTGAATTGGTTGGTCATCGTTCGAAGAGTTTCAACAGAAGACGTTTTTTGAAGCTGATCCCTTTTGCAGCAGTGGAAAAATTGAGAACTGACAGGCGGTTCTTAAGCTTTATAAAAAGCAACTGGGTTTTGGGTTTCGAGAGTTGTGGATAGGTATTTTGGAAGAATTTCATGTTGGCCCACGTTGTGCAGAGTGGATTGATCTGGTCTGACCTAAAAATTATCTGGGTCTACGTGTAATCTCAAAGAATATACTTTTTAAAAGGAAATTCACGTTACAATTAAAATTGAAGCTTGACCCGAATTCACAGATGGGCTGCTAGTCTAGTAAATGATCTAATAGAAGCCCAAACCGCCAACGTTGAGCTCAATTATCTTGGTGCTTATGAGAGATACCAAAAATATGTCAACGGATAAAATGTTGGCGATTTCAAGATAAGTATTTTATCAGTTGACTACAGGTTTTTTTCCTTTACAGGTTTATTTTTACAGGTTCTACGGGATCTTTAGTTTCTGTAAAAATGATTTTTTCGCGAATTTTCAAGAGAAAAATTAATTTGTTTAAATCTTTTCAGGGTTTTCAGCAGTTTTTCTTACATTTTGCCGAAGTTTTGGCTGAAATTTGACGGTTCTGTGTTTGCGAAGATTAGTGTAGAAAAGTTTTCGTTAAGCCATTGTATTCGCTATCATCATCTCGTCAAATTGCTAACAACAGTCGGAGCTCACGCTGTTTCGCAAAAAGTATATTTTCTAGCTCAAAACTGAGCAAATCAGAATTTTCGATGATTGATATTTTGGATAATTTTGAGCAAAGTTATGTTCAATCAATCAATCAATTTTTTGACTTTGGCGGCCTATGTGTTTTTTCAGAATAATTTTCAGACAACCCCTCAATTTAATTTTGACTACAGCAAGCTGAATCAATTCATTTGAACATTAAAAACGTATTTTATTTATTTTACTTCCAAATATGACTTATGACGGTGTATCTTATTGATCTCCCAGTCTTCCTCATTTTAATATCATCTTGTGATCTTGTCTTGTGTTCATCCTCAAAAAACAGAACAAAATGGAAAACAGAACAGTTTCATTCCCAAACCAAACATCTATCATAAAACTAGTGTTATACTTTCCAATGTTACACACTTTAAATGTATCTCTTCCCAATCAGCTATATTGCCCTCTCTTCACCCTTTCCCCTTTTTTGTACCGTATTCTATACCAAGTCTCGTATTGTAAATACCTCTCAAACTAACATGATTTCTTCAATCTTCATCTTTTTTCCATTCTACTTCTTCTTCGAAAAACCGGATATCTTCTTGAAATTGAGTGGTTCAAGCAATCGTGAAGAAGCTACTCTGTGATGATTATAAGGTTCAATGGAGAGAAAAAGAAATAGGGAGATTCATGTGACCTTTCGAGGTCAGATAATCTCGAGAAAAGGTAAAGAAGAAGAGGAAGAGGTTGAAGGTCGCACGCTCTTCGGGTGATCAAAATGGCAATGGGCATTCGGAGGTGATGTTCAAAAAAAGAAAAAGAAGAAGAGGAAGAAGACGTTCCAATTGAATGTTGGCAAGGACGAAATGGTCGGGAGTTTAGGAAATGGAAGATTTAAGTGCTTTGGTCTACTCAAACCAAAAAGAAAAATTAATGTTTGTTGCAAAATACCTGGGTAAAGAAAAGAATTCTTGAAAAATCAGGACTGGGCGTTTTGCAATGGAAACCCGGACTACTGGAAACTCCTACTCGGTATAAACCCGCGGAAGATGTGCATCATTTACGCAAGAGAAGTAAGTAGAGTTTACATCTGTTGCGACAGTGCTGCACAACTGTAGGGGATGTGTAGGGTAGTTGATGCGCGAATGTAAGATATTCAGTCGCTAGCCCCCTCGTTTTTCGCTTTCATCGCACTTGATTAAAGCAGTTGCTAAAAATACGTTTATTGAAAAAATAGAAAACTACAATAAATGAGGGGAATGAAAAAATGCAAAAAAACATGATACTGTTTAGAAATGTGTATATTTTTTCGTCTCCTGGCTTGTCCTCAAATTGATTCTCACTCGTCTTTCGAAGCCGTAGCAGTTGAGTGTCGTCTTCTTCTTTCCATCCTGAACCGGGGGTTTGGCTGAGAGTGTCGCTTCTATTCGAATGTCCGTACGGTCCCACTCCTCATCCGACAATTGACTTCATAGCGTTCTGTAATGAGAAACACGTTATGAGAGTAACTATTTAAAGTTATAAGGCTATTTTTTTGAGAAACGAAAAAGCAAGGAAAAAAGATGAACTTGCACTATAGTTAAATTTTGTGCAAGTTCATCCAAATCAAGTATTTTGTTCTAAAGCTTCAAAACATTCGAAAAAGCCTGAGGAGCCAGTTGAGCCAAATGCAAAGCGGGACTGGTGGATAACTGCTAGATGCCGGCTGAAGAGGTGCGGACGGGTGAACGCCATTCTAGTCGCCAGAGCGAAGCTTTTTTCTCATATTTTTTCTCATGAGCGCCTCAAAAGGTTGATTTATCTGGTTTTAATTTTTTTAAGCCTAACTGCACATGAATGTGACTTCAGACATCTCAAAAAATTGGCTTTTTGGAGTGACGATCGGCAACATTGTCATTTACTACAAGCTTTCGAATAGTCACTACCGAAATTTTCTCTTCGAAGCATACGCCGTTTCTTTTGCAGTGACAAATCATTCAGAAATTCAGATATTTAAACACTTTCCGTTTTATTACCCATCTCATGTATTTCCTGCCACGTCATCTTCCCGTCACCCATATCACCGTTTTTTCCACACCTTTATTCTTTTCACCGTTTGTTAAATACCAATTGAAAACAGTCAGTGTATTATGGCATCGTCGTCTACTTCTTCTCTTTTTTTCTGTTACATGTGCAAACATTAATTGGCGATGGATGAGAATAGAGAAATGAAGAAGAAGAAGCGGTTCGAGAAACCAGTTAGAGACAAACTGAACA